TATATATACTTGTATATACTTGTATTAAAGCTAACTTGTATTAAAGTTAACTTGTATTAAAATGAACTTATATTAAAGTTAACTTGTATTGAAATGAACTTATATTAAAGTTAACTTGCTGTCATGGCTGCAGATTATTTTTGCTCATGGCATCAGTTTATTGATGTGTCTAAGACAGAGATGGTTCTTATTTTACAGAATATAATATGAATTCTTTGTTCTGCAGGTTCTACGTTCCTGTTCAGTGGATCCTACCTGTTTGAGTATTCCTCTGACAGAAAGTCATTCAGACTCAAAAAGACGTACCCTCTGAGCTGCAACAGCCTCTACAGCCACTTCTTTTGAAATGTTTTATTAAAAAATCAGCAAGGTGTGTTTTTTATGCATGAATGACACAGCCTGTACTATATATCACAATTAAATATATATTTGCATCAATAAACAAAGTCTTTGGTTGATGGCAAAAGTACATTTTGTTTGTTTTTCTTAATTTGCCAATTGATGTTTGTTTGTTTTGCACAGTGTTTACAGAATGCATGTGCTGTAAAACTTATAAGAAAAACAGATTTTCTCTCTTTTTGTTCCCACAGCTCCCTCTGTTGTCCTCTTTGTTTAGTGTTTGTTCACAAAAACATCTTCACATCATTACTGATATTACATTTACCTGGTTTAAACTGTAAACTCATGGCTGTTTACACAAAAACATCAAATCAGATTGATTTTTTCCTTTTTACAGTCAGAGTCCTTTTTTGTTTGTACTTGAAGAYTGAAAAAAGATAAAAAAGACTCATGAATAAGTTTATATACATTACATATAAATGAAAGCCTTTAATGTTGGTATGTCAGCATATAGGTGGACTTATGTGTGATTTTATTAGATCTTTTGAAATGTATGAACATTTAGCACCCAGAGTCTGTGTTGTGAATAACTCAGCTACTATCATCATCAGCCCAGTGTTTATAAGATGAACAGATTGTTTTTATGTTGGCTACTTAGATTAGCTGAAATTGTTCTTTAAAATCAACATGAAAGTCATTAACTGCTCATTTTCAATCAATACGTTTACTTTTAACACTTAACCCGTCCAGAGGACCTATACAATTTTTTTCCTTTTAACACTTAAGTACAAAAAAATTACAGATACTTTAAGACTTTTACTCAAGTTCCTAAAGGAGACTTTAACTTTTACCAAAGTKATTTTTTGATAAGATACTTGTACTTTTACTTAAGTATCAGTTTGTGGTACTTTATACAACACTGATTGTGAGTGATGACTTTTACAAAGTTTGACCAAAACGCCTACAACTCTGTCATTTCCTGTTATAAAAGGATTTTCATTTGAAAATAAGCCCTACCTAAAGCAATGTTAGGTCTTTAAGTGTTTTCTGTCATTTTAATTAAACATCTTGTAGTTTCACCTGAAAATCAAGTACAGGCTGCTGTACTTTACTACTGTTTTTACACTGGAACTGAAAATGATTGAAAGACACTACAATACCCATAATGCCCTGCCGCTGATGACGTAGAACACACCTCCCGATGTGATTGGCTGATTCTTCCTGCGCTCGCTGCACGGCTTGAAGGTGAAGCTAGCTCGTTTTTCTMCGTTCTCCTGATTAAAAATACCAGATTTTTGACCATGCAGGCTCAAATATGTAGGCGCCTGGTGAGTGAACGTGTACAAAAATACTGTCATATACTGTCTTTTTTTCCAGAAGGGTAGTTTTACTCGGAGTTTGTCCGTGAGTTACCAGCAGCTCTGCTAACTGTTTATGTTTGTGCATCGTCCTCATCAGCTGGAGAGTCAGTTAAAGTGTGGAGACGCCATTGTTTAAAGTCATCCTGCTGTCAGGATAGTGACCCTCCAAGACCAGGATTGGGACATTTATCCCTAAACTGTGTACCAGAGTGTAAATAGAGTGAGGGGAGAGAAACAACACACGTGTTGTTGTTCTGCCTGTGCAGACCTCCGTGCTTCTTCTTGTTTAAAAAGAATAGCCTCATTGTTTTTGATTTAAAACACACTAAAATTGGCTAAAATGAAGAGTAAACACTCAAAACTACACACTAACTATAAAATCCCAACATGTTAAAAGTCACAGATCTAATTAATAAAGTCCTGCTCTCACCGGCTCTTCATTGCCGCCAATCTCCATTCAAATTTCGCCTCTTTTTATTTTTTAATTTATTTATTTCGAACAGACATTAAAACAATCAAAAAGAAAAGAAAAATAAAATAGAATGAAACAAACATGAGAAATAAAATGTAATACAAATTATTTTGCCCACGTGACATGCAATATTTTATATTTTCTGTTGGAAAAGGAGCAGGTAGAAGATACATCTTATAATGGCCTGCCCCTTTCCTACATGTCAATGTATRATCAATTAACTTTCAGAACATCAAAAAGAGACAACTTGTTTCCATTTTACATCATGTTTAACTATGTAGAATTATTTTAAGTACTATTTACAGTATATCATCAGTTACATTATAGACTATTGAACATTAAACATCTTGTACAGTATATCATATTTTGAAACGAGCTCTGCTTTAATGAGTTTTTTAAATTGGTTTACAT